AGATATCTGTGGCTGTATCAGATAATGACTAGTCACCACATAACGTCAGTGAAGTTTGAAAACATGATGTACAAAATACAAAACCGGCCTCATGTATTCGGCTTTTCCAACAAACAAGTCTTCGCGGTAATGTCGTTCTCTATATTCGCGGTAATGTCGTTTTTTGTATTCGCGGTAATGTCGTTCGCGGTAATGGCGTTAGCGGTAATGTCGTTTTTTGTATTCGCGGTAATGTCGTTCGCGGTAACGTCGTTCGCGGTAATGTCGTTCGCGGTAACGTCGTTCGCGGTAATGTCGTTCGCGGTAATGTCGCTGTATCTTGATATCGTAGCAGAATATATGTAGTGAGAATGAGTCATAATTTCTTGTAAGGGCATACATGAGGATTCACTTCTATTTATTTTTTTTTTCTCATTTTTGTCATGAAACTGTACTTCTGGTAATTGGATCGGAGATGATGCTTTTCTTGTTGTTGTTGAGGATGATGTAGCATGTGAAGAAAAGCTGAGTGTTTCATAAGCTTCGTCCTCATTTACCAAAACTGTATAAGCAAATGATTCTGCTGGAATCTTTACTTCAATATAACATTGTGGCCAACTGCTAGATTGTTTCTGCTCATATTTTCGAGCATAATCATTTTTATGTGATTCAGTTTTGTTTTAACTTCTTTCCTCAAAATTTCTTTGTCGCACACTTGGCAATTTTTTCAAACTATCTGATGACCTTTTGACAAGTGCTTCAATCACTGTATTATCTTTCAAGGTATCACCTTTCTTAATGAAGTCTTCAATGTTAATCCTTAATGTTTACTCATCAGTATCTTCCTTTTGTGTTTTTCAACAATCACGAAAAGGAAAAAAAGGTTTCCTCAAGGTTTAACGCTATCCTAGTAAATGTGATAGTGCGAAGTAGAAAGCTTTTACCCTTTCCTGAGTCATAAACAAAAAATTCTTGAAAAACTCCATTAGTTTGATGTCCTTTCCAAAATGGACTCTCAAAAATGTCAGCTGATAAAGTTTAAGTAAAAGTTTTCAAGTATTATAATTTTCTCTTTTAACTTTTAAGTTTATTCAAACTTTGCCAACGAGGTATAAATTTGCTACCTTTGAAATTTTTTTCGAAGAATTCTTTCAATCAGGCTGGAATTTTCGTCATAGATGGAACAAATATTTCTACAGCGACAAATTTTTTTTGCTCAAAATTATTTTGAATTCTTCTTATGGAAGAAATTGTTTCAATGTCAGAGACAACCAGAACTGGACAAAAACGGGCGGTTTTTCGTTCTTTTAAGTTTTTGGTCAGGCGATAAAAAACTGGAGCTTTTTGTCTTTTCTTTTCGATGAGAAGAGTCAACATTATCCATATCAACCAAAACAGGAGATTCGAAAAAATGGCAAAAGTCGATGTCCAAAAATTCACAGGTCTTGCATGAAACTGTCAGGATTTGATCGTCCAATTACGTTGATTGCAGAAACATGAGTCGGGAAGATTTAATTTCTTTTTCGATCAGGTTGGCTTTTCTTGGATAATATGGATTTTCTTTTCGTTGTCGGTGATCATTAACCAGAAATATTCTGCTTTGCACTATCGGATTTACTGGAATAGCGTTAAATCTCGAGAAAACTCCTTTTACTCGTGATGGCACTTAATTTTGCGACATCAGAAAAATATCACTTGGAAAACGAGAACGTTCTGTTCAAAAAGTTATCTAAAAAGTACAGTAAATATATATTCAATCTTGATTCATATAAAAATAAATACAGTATTTACGCTTGATGATGCAAATGTTGATATTCTAATTGTTTTTTCTGTTTGTTTTTTTTTACTTGTTTTTAAGGGAGCCTGAAGAAAAAATACAATTTAAAATCATGTCGGTATCATACAAAATTCTGAAATGAATAATGATCAAGAAGATGATGAGTTTTCTTTTGACTGAAAGCTTGATTTCGGTTTTGGAAGTAGGACAATGGAAAAAAACAATTTTTTCCCTTGATCTCATCCATTCCAAAAACTTCCTTGAAGCATACCTACTATGTCATCTGGCTGTACAAGGTTGGAAGATTTTGTTCGTTTCCTTTTGGGTATGAACTTCTAGATCTGATTAAACGAAAACAAGTTTTATGTCTAAATTGAACAGAGTTTAATGCATTATTCTTACATCACACACTTCTACTTTTGATTTTCTTGCTTGTACGTGTGATGCTAATTTATTTCTTGTAGTCTAAAATACATCACAAAATTTTACTTAGGGTTGACCAAAAGTTCGTAGAACGATGATACTCGCTCACACCGTGATCAAAACCTTTGGTCAACTCTAAGTATGTTCTGGTCGCGCTGGAAATTCTCTATCGTCCTATATATTTGTATACTGTCCTGCATTTATCTATCGCAAAAATAACTTGAGTACAATGAAGACACCCTCAATTGACAAGTACGAAAATTCGCTACTTTTTATGCTTTTTCAAATTATAGATACTATGGAAATAAATCTTTCTAAAAGGAATTAAACATTCTGATAGAGCTTCAAATGCTACATCATCCTATATATTTTTGTTCTATCTTGCATTTCTGTGCTGAAGAATAATTTGACCATCATGCAGGCACGCTTGTCCACTGAGGGTGTCTTCATTGTACGCAAGTTATTTTTGCAATAGATAAATGCAAGACAGTAGGCAAATATATAGGACGATAGAGAATTTCCAGCGCGACCAGAATATACTTAGGGCTGACCAAAATTTTTCATTACGGTGCGAGGAGGGGAGGGCGGAATCACCGTTCTACGAACTTTATCCCTATACTGTAACTAATTGCACTTAAAATATCCTCTTCAGCTGTATGCGTTCACATGAGAGTGATTGTTGATGTTGACTTTATTAAAGTAGCTGTTGAAAAAAGATGAAATGTTTTATTCTGGAAGATCTGACACAGCCTCAACAGTATCTTCTATAATCTTTGGATAAACAGATCGGATCGACCATTGAAGAATAGTATTAAAGTCTCCAATAATGTAGAAGCAATCTTATCGTAGATTCTTTTTGTTCTTTGATATTGATGAAGTGGATCGTTGCGATTTGTAGAATAAGGGTATACTTCCTGATAATCTTTCAATTTCACTGTTAATTCAACATTTGCTTGAACACGAAGTTTAATGGGGCTTGTCTCAAAATATATGGCCGGAATCATCTCGTGAGATGGGCAGAACTAAAGCTTCAAAGTATACAAATCAGACTTACAGACAGACATATAGGTATTTTAACTCGATAATACATTTCCTTTACAGCCAAGAGATTAAATAGATGGTTATCACAATATTTTTGTTAATCGTTGATGGATTTTATACGAGAAGTCATTAAACGTCGCGGCGTTATGGTGGCGCCACCTGCAAGTATTCTAAAATTAACAACTTCAGGGATTTCCATACTTTGAAGCTTTGTTCTGCCATTCTCTCGAGATCATTCTGGCTATATTTCTATTCACTTACTTATCAGTTATTTATCATCACTGAAAATAAACACAAGACAGCTTTGCAAATGTTCGTCTTTCTTCAGTTGAAGAAACTAAAAGAGACCAAGAACAACTATACTTTTCTTTATCTTTCAAAAAAGTTTTCCCCTTTTTCTCAACTCTTAAAAATGCTCAACTTCTAAATTTATTTCCGTAATATACTGCTTTCTGTAATATATTGACTTGATATGAATAAAAACTTTGTAAATTTATGGAGTATATGTGTTACATATATAGGTGCTGTGACTGCAAAACAGAAAGGCGAATAATCCGACCGTCGATATATCGAGCAATATATTGGGCAAGCTAGATATATTGGGTATTGGATTGGGTTATCTAGGTAGGATTGCCCAATACTCGATACTTTTTATTCGCCTGGGTAGTTGCAACAGTTTGCGATGAAGCTTTGAATCTTTTGCGCTCAACAAGTCTTGTGGGACTGAACTCTGTAGCAAATTATAGCTCCATTATATCTCGAAAAAAAGCACAGAGTGTAAAACTTAATGACGATGTTAGACCGCAATTTGTCCTATCTTACGTGGAATTAGAATGACATTAACGTTCTGTAGGACATTAAAAATTACCTACGCGAGTTTTTTTTGGTGAAACTCCTCCTTATTTTAATGAGTATGAACTGTCTCTAGCTCTGTATTTCTATTCACTTTCTTATCAGTTATTTATCATTACTGAAAATAAACACAAGGCAGCTTTGCAAATGTTCGTCTTTCTTCAGTTGAAGAAACTAAAAGAGACCAAGAACAACTATACTTTTCTTTATCTTTCAAAAAGTTTTCCCCTTTTTCTCAACTCTTAAAACGCTCAACTTTTTCATAGATTGCATGTACGTCACTCAGGTTATCTATCAGTTTGTTATGAAAGTAAAGAGAAATGTATTGATGAGTGGGTTAGTATCTTAGTGAACACGATGAAACTATATATTCTAAGGTTTTTCTGCAATTTGACTATAATCCAAATAGCTGATTTTACTGCGCAAATTTTTACTACCGATACTTCACATTCTATCTCAGCTTCTAAATTTATTTCCGAAAAATAGTCTTTCCTTCTCGAAATATTCAAAAGACGCTGAAAATTCAGTGTAAAAAGTCGGCTTTTGATTCTAGAAACTTTTGCTCACCGAAAGCTATAATATTTTTTGGAAATAAATTTAGAAGTTGAGCATTTTTAGGAGTTGAGAAAAAGGGGAAAACTTTTTGAAAGATAAAGAAAAGTATAGTTGTTCTTGGTCTCTTTTAGTTTCTTCAACTGAAGAAAGACAAACATTTGCAAAGCTGTCTTGTGTTTATTTTCAGTAATGATAAATAACTGATAAGAAAGTGAATAGAAATACAGAGCTAGAGACAGTTCATTCAAAATTCACCATTGGAAACCTAAAAACTTGTTATCACCTTTTAAGTACCTCTGTTCACGCTGCGTTTTCAATGGTGAATTTTCACTGAAAACTGTCTAAATCATAAAAAATTCATATTTTGCAAAAGCTTTGGTTTATAAGCGTAAAAGTGTCGCAGTGAACAGACAACATCTATCTTCAACTGTGGTGAAAACTTCCGACTCTTACCTGATCATGGTCGTGAGCTATTAATTAATTATTGTTAATGGCATTTTCATTAATTAACTCATATCTCCGTCAAAAAGGCGCATGGGCCCAAAGCAACTTGGGGTTTTTCACTGCTGACTATTCTCTACATGATGAAAATAGTCTGAGTCGAAAAGCTTTTAATCACCTCGGGAGGTTCCCTCGTCAGTGTGCTTGTGGGAAGGCTGAAACAGTACAGCATTTCTTCCTGGAGTGTCAATATTACCAGCAGATACGGACTATCTTTGATAATGACTTGAATGCTCTAGTATACGATACCCTTACGCTCGAACACATACTCTTTTTAAAACCTGCACCGTCTTTAAACGTTACATAATCTTCGTGGTTTTTGCCTAAATTTTATTTTTCTCATTGGTTTAAAAAAAGACGTCAATGAGAAAAATAAAATTTAGGCAGAAATCACGTAGATTATGTCGACGCCAGAAAAGAAGTCAAAGTATAATACCTAATTTTCTAATGTCTTGCTGTTGTCATTACTTTCTCTCTTTTATGTTGTTGCCGTGTGTCGTTTCTATACATGTATTCTAGTGCTGTCCTCTGTCCTCAGTCAATTTATGTTAAGATATAATGGGTACACCTCCTTCTTCTCATAATTTGTAGTGATATTTTAACATTTCTTCTAAATAAATAAAGTTTATATCAAGCAGCTCTATCACTGAGGCGGGTTCACATAGCATTATACCCGTAATTCACTCTAAAAAAGGTGTTCTTCCGTTTTTCAAAGAACTGAAAAATCAATGGGAATTTTGTTCTCCATTTGTCCCAAATAGAGAAATCAAATTCTGTTCTTCAGCTCTCAAGAACTCAAAATTTGTTCTTCAATCTCCGAAGAACGAAAACACTCAGTTTTTTGCAAAAAATTGAAGAACGAATTTTAAGTTCTTGAGTTTAGATCATCAGAACAAAATAAATTGCATGTGATTCGTTGTACTGTGAATATCCCCATTGCATGGATGCATGATATTTAACTTACGTTTATGCATGTGTATGAACAATAATGACTTGAATTATTCATATTCAAAGTTTTGATATATATATTAATCGTATCGTGATTTTTCCTTTTTTCAGCAGATTTCGAAAGCCAGAAGATGAATATTTTGTAATAATAGTCGAAAAGAATTAGAAAGCGATCTGTCTGCAGCGTTTATATTTCTTCCTGCGTTGTCAAGACCTGACGCACAATGAATCCTTCTACTATTTCTAGTGGCATGTTTCACCTACTTTTCTAAATTTTCAATCTCTGATCTCGATGACTCCCGATTTTCAATCTCACCAATATTCGAAACTTTGCTATTTTCGACGCTGAGAATACTTGGCTTTCTAGAACACTTCGTCAAAATCAAAGGCTGAACACTACCGATACCATAAGATTGCGCGTACTACGTTGTGCTGTATATTGATGGGTTTTGGTTGGAAATCAATGCCGCTATAGTGTAGCAAGGTCTAAGAGGAAAATTTGTGTTTTCCCAAAAATTCAACTAAAAATCATCTCGAAATAAGCACAACAATATGACGAAACTCAGCGTAGCCAATAACCCACCAGATGCGTCATTAAGAATGTCTGATTTCTTACTATACGGATTCGCCGATGAGAAAAATAAAGAGTACCTCGCTCTGATCTTGATTTGTGAGAAAATTTCGGTTTTGAGTTAAACATATTTTGGGCACCCTAAACGTCAGCAATAATTCTTTTGAAATAACACCATGTTCTACTCCGAAAGTACTTTATGAATTCTTTTAATTTATCCGGTCGGAAGTCAAAAAAATCACCGAAGAAAATGCCATTAACAATAATTAATTAATAGCTCAAACAAAATAAATTGCGTGTGATTGTACCGCAGTCTGAAAACTACCGTTGCAGTAACCGCCGGTAGAAGAAAAAACCGTCGCTAAACCGGTCGTTATACCGAACGGTACGGTTAACCAGCAGTAATCTATAGACCAGTCGGTAACCAGCGGTATTACGAAAAAAAGTGCGACATGGAATGCAAAGACCAGTCTAGCTTTGGTGTTAAGCGCAAGCCCTATCGGATAACATTTCCGTTCAATAACAGCTGAGGACGTGCAGAAACTTTGCTGAAAAACATAGCCGCATACTTTTGTAAATCCAAGGGTAACTGCCAAAATTCCGTCCACTCTAAAACGTCTTTTAAATTGTCCGAGCTATGATACACTGATGTATCGTCCGCAAATAAAGGCAGTTTCGACTGTTTATTAGTCCTTTAAGCCAAACTTTATCGAACGTCTTTGCAAAATCAAAAAAATACAGCTGTTGTGAATTTATCAGAATCTAAATCTTCTCGTATTTCATGCACCAAATCAACCAACTGATTTGTCGTAGAATCATCCTGAATAAAACCTGATTGTAAGGGTGTTAGGAGATCATGCTTTTTTAGCACAGCATGGCACGTTCCTATTTCGTGGAAATTCAAAATGTACAAGTATAAAGTAAAACTTCATGGAAAAAACTTTCGCTTAGATTTAGAGCTAACCCAACACTTCGGTTAGCTAACGTGTGGTAAGGTCAGGAAATTCAAATGAATTTCGATGCCTTAACTAGAACTATTATCTTAGACTAGGTGAAGTAAGGTTAGGAAATTCATCTTACATATGTTTCAAGTCTTCAGCAATAACTGGCCCCGCTTCTTTTAAAATTTTTGTACTTATAGAGCTTCTTCCCTTACACTAGTATTCAGCAATTCTTTCTTAACTGAGATTTTTCCTTCATCTTGGAAAAATGATGTTATATAGGAAACCAAATCTTCAGCTGCTTTAAAAAATAGCTTTTTAAGAAAAATTATCGATATCTGTCAATATGAAAAAATACCAACGCCGAACGTAGTGACAGGATGATTATTGACAAGCAATCAATTGTATTTGAAGCCACAAAATTGGATAGAAAAACTATCAATATATTACGATCAAAATTCGAACAGACATATTTTTCTTCGCTTACCAACACTAGTCGAA